TCTTGGTCTGCTATGGCTATTGTTTTGCCATTGATAACAAATATGGCCAGCTTTAGGGTGTATTCTAAATATTGTGGTCCCCATTAATGATTTGGAAGATTAAAATTAGGTCCTCTCTTAAGTGCCTTTTTTCTAAGGATAATAAGTTTAATTTCTGGAGGTGACCCTCATAGCTCAGGCTTTCCATCCCCTTTATTAATTTTGTAGCCCTTTTCTGAACTCTCTCAAGTTTGAGGACATCTTTCCTGAGGGTTGGTGACCAAAACTGGACCGCATACTCAAGGTGAGGCCGAACCAGCAATTTATAAAGTGGTAAAATTATGTTTTTATCCCTTACCAAATTCCCTTTTTAATGCTGGATAGTATCCTGTTTGCTTTGCTGGCTGCTGCTTGGCATTGTATACTATTGCCGAATCTGTAATCTATGAGCACCCCCAGGTCTTTCTCCATGTCTAACTTCCTCAATGGAGCACCCCCAAGTAGTAGTTTGGGTACTTTGCTCCCATGTGCATAGCCTTACATTTTTCAATAATAAGTCACATTTGCCATTTTGTAGCCCATGCCTCAATTTTATCTAGGTCTTGCTGAAGTGAATTTATGTCCTGCTGAGAATTTACTGCCCTACACGGTTTAGTATCATCTGTAAAAACCGAGATTGAACTATTTATTCCAATCTTTATGTCAATGATGTATAAGATAAACAGGATTGGTTCCAGGACCGAATCCTGGGGCACACAATTTTTGCCCTATTAGAAAATTACCCATTTATTACTACCCTTTGGATCTGTTCATGCAGCTAATTTTCCACCCATGTACATGCAATTTCATCTAAAGTGATAAACCTTAGTTTATAATTAAACATTTGTGGGGTACTGTATCAAATGCTTTAGCAAAGTCAAGCTACACCATGTCTACTGGTATTCCTCTGTCTGAATTAACACTTCATTCCTCATAGACTGTTAATAGATTGGCCTGACAAGAACAGTCCTTCATGAGACCATGTTTGTTGCTTCTTATAATACCATATTCATAGACAAATTCCTGCATGTAGTCCCTTATCATGCCTTTGAATATTTTGCTATTAATGTTAAGCTGACTGGCCTATAGTTACCCGGTGTACTTAATTTCCCTTTTTGTATATTGGTTCCACATTTGCTTTCCGTCAATCAGCTGGTACCATACCTGACATTACAGTGTCCATAAAGATTATGAACAGTCCTCTAGCTATGACCTGGCTAAGTTCCTTGAGTACCCACAGATGTAACCCATCTGGTCCCGGAGATTTGTTTACATTTAATCTTTCTAGACTCTATCTCTGACAGCCACTGAGATATGTTAAAACTATTGTTACTGGAGCTGATGCCTTGATCATTAACCCTGTCAGTCTCTCTTTTAGTAGTAAAGGTTCCAATTCTTCCATTTTGCTTGCTAAAGACAGAAGCAAAAAATTTATTTAACGCATCTGCGTTCCCCCTGTCGCTGGTAGCTAACTTCCCCTTTTCATCCGTTATGTGGTCTACATGTTCTGTCCTTACCCTTTTACTATTTATATATTTATATAATTTCTTGGAGTTTTTTTTGCTTTCGATTGCTATGTGTTCTTCTTACTCTATTTTTGCAGCCCTGATTGCTCATTGGCATCTTTTCTTGCATTCCTGGTAGTTTTTAAATGCTGGTAGAGACCCCTCTGACTTACATTTTTGAAGGCCATATCCTTTTTCTTTATATATTGCTTTGCTTTGCTAGTTAACCACCCTGTTTTAACTTTCGATGTTTTGCATTTGTTGATAAATGGAATGCGTCAGGCATCATGCTGGGGAACGTTAGTGGGGCTGGGAAACAGATTGCAGCCAGGAAGGGGTTAAACCCAATTATAGCTGCAAGTGTTCCCGTTCTTCAAATCCATTAAGGACACTCCATCTTCCCCTGACTTTGTCATTGGTACCAACATGTACCATGACAGCTGGGTCTTCACCAGCCCCACCGAATAATATGTCCATTCGATCCCCAATGTGCCAAACCCGTGCTCCTGGTAAACAACATACTGTTCAGTGATCACGTTCTTTATGGCAGATTACCCTGTCTGTCCTCCTAAATATTGGATCCCGTAACACTAGGATCTGTCTATCTTTACTTGAGCAGTCAGTCCCCTTGCAGATAGAGGAGATATTCTGCTCCAGCAATGCTACCCCTGAGCTGATATCCCCAACATCATGCAAACGGGCATATTTATTGGGGTGCAATAGCTCAGGACTAGCTTCTCTGACACTTTTTCTCCTGCCCCGCCTTCTGTTACCCAGTTACCAACCTCCAGGTCCTGCTCCTCCATACTATCACCCTCCTCTATGGTGGCCCCTGCCAGTACCTGATGGGTAAAACTCTTCTCTATGTTTTTTAGTGTCGCCAGCTGGTTTTTCAGATCTAGAATCTGGGCTTCAAAACAACACCCATGTCGGTCATGTTGATGATTTATGTTTTTTTGACCAGTTTGGGATTATTCTGAAATTAATAAGAGTTAATTGACAGGGGCATGTGTCCTGCAGTTGACCTCTTTCTAATCTGCATTCGATCTCTTTCTAAGCTGCATTTCACTTCAAGCAGCTTTGTTTTCCTATAGACTTGTATAGAGAAGAACAGTTCTTATGCAGACAAAAGCCCATCGACACAGAAAGATGTAACACGTGATCATACAGACACATTTCAGATAGAGATTGTACAAATAGGATTATGCAATAGGGGAATGAAAGAACAATGCCACAAAGGGCCTAATTTATAAATCTTCCCAGCCACACACTGGGTGAATGCAGTTTTGCATGCCATTCTCGCCTATGCTCCTTGGCTCCATCTAGTGGTAGGAATGCTGTGTAAACAGTATTTGCCCAGTGTACGTTTGGGCTGATGATTTATAAATCCTCCCCAAAGCGAAGAGTCCAATTAATTCTGTCCTGTTGATTTTAGAAAGTGCACTTTCTCACCTTCAATGAATAAGCCTCGATATGACCAGGATGTATAACATGCTGCTGTAAGCTTTGTTTTCCTTGGATTCAAAAGATTACATAGTCTCATATTAAAATTAATGGAAAATACAGTTAACCAGCGACTCCTGTTAGGGAAATCCCCACAGGAAGGAGCACACCAGACAGACAAGATACACAGCTTTAAATACAGGCTATATAATATATCACTTTTGTGATATTTCTGTCACTCCAAAAAACAGACCCTGTATATATTTGTGTGGTGCGTTAATGCAAGGGACGGTTCATTCATTGTAATGGGCTGCCTATGCACCAAAACATACACAGAAATGTTTACATTTTTGATGGAGCAGATGATGGTTTTTAAACTTATATCAGATTTTTCGTTTTTCTATCTGTGTCCCTTTAGGCAGGTGTGACTTTACAACCTGTCCTGTAGACAGAAGGAAGTGAAAGAAAAATCTCTCCCAACTCTCTTAGACAGTTAAACACTGTAGTTTGAGTGCATATAAGTCATTTCTTAATGTAGTTTTAATAAAAACCTTGTTTTTCTTTATTGTAGACTTACAAATGCACAAAAATGTAAAAACATTGTTTTCTATTTTAAAATGAATAATTGTTAATGTAATTGTATCTGAAAAGAACAATATTAAATAGATGTCTCTGCAGATTGCACCACAGCTTGAAGGTGGCAGTGTTTATCTGCAGGCTAAAAGCTTATTTTGTCACAGCTTACATTGTAATCACATAATATGAAACCACTCTAATTGGTTCCCACTTTTCAGGGGGCAACTGAAGATGTAAGCGGCAGTTGAAATTGAGAGCTATCAGTTGCACAAAGTGTTGGCTAGTAGCTCTGAAGCAGAGGACGTTTATTTACATAACAGCATGAGGCACCATGCTGGGGAACATTATTGGGACTGGGGAACAGATTGCAGCCAGGAAGGGGTTAACTCCTATAATAGCTGCAAGTAACGTGTGTTGAAATCATCCATACAGGGCTGAAGTGAATAGACAAACGGTGTTAGGCTCCCGGTTTGCCTAGGATCTGTGCTGGGTCCGATACTGTTCAACCTATTCATTAATGACATCGGGGAGGGAATAAATAGCCATGTTTTCGTGTTTGCAGACGATACAAAAATAGGGAGGGTACTAGAAACGGATCGTGACAATATAACATTGCAGGAGGACCTGGATAAAATAGGGGAGTGGGCAACACTATGGCAGATGAGGTTTAATGTCGATAAATGCAAAGTAATGTACTTTGGACATAAAAATAAACAAATAGGCTATACAATCATGGGTATGCCGCTAGGGAAGTCAGAAATAGAAAAAGATTTGGGGGTCATTGTAGACCACAAACTGAATGGTAGCTTGCAGTGCCAAGCTGCGGTAAACAAAGCTAGCAGGGTCTTGTCCTGTATTAAGAAGGGGATGTATTGCAGGGACAAGTCTATAATTGTGCCTCTATATAGATCGTTGGTTCGGCCACATCTGGAGTACGCGGTCCATTTTTGGTCGCCGGTACTGAGAAGGGATGTTCTTGAACTGGAGAGAGTCCAGCGGAGGGCAACAAAACTAATTAGGGGAATGTAGGACCAGAGCTATGAGACAAGGCTTCTGACCTTAAACATGTTCACGCTGGAATTAAGGAGATTAAGGGGGGATATGCAAGCAACATTGGCAACAAACTGTTTTAGATTAACTCCATTACAAAGACTAGAGGCCACCACCTAAAGTTGGAGAAAAAATTCCAGCACAATGGGCAAAGAGGGTTCTTTACAGTAAGAGCGGCTAAGGTCTGGAACTCACTGCCATCGGCAGTGATTTCAGCCAAGAGTGTAGATTTGTTCAAGAAATGTTTGGACAATTTCTTGAGGGACCGTAATATCCAGGGATACCAGTATCCCTAAGAACGAGATGATGCGTGAACCTATATGGGTTGGACTTGATGGACGTATGTCTTTATTAAACTCCAAATACTATGTAACTGTGTAACTATGTCTTACCCACATACAATGCATTCAACATCCAAACACACAGAACCTGTGTGTCCTGAACCACAACATTTCTCTGCATTTACATGCCCCAAATCTTCTAATATGGGCCATGAATTTTATTTTAATTTTTTTTTAAACAACTTTTTTTTACTCCAGAGCTATCTGATCATAGGAGAACAATGGCTACCCATGTTTTTTTTATTTTTTTTATGGTGGTCAGACTTGCAAAAAAAAAAAAAAGTTTTCACTGCTGTGACGGCCCTGCCCATGCCTAGCTGTGTGCGTCCATAGACACACACAGCATGCAGTCGGCCACGCCCCCACCCTGCAGTCACAGATTGACTCACGGCAGAGAGAGCCTATGGCTCCTCTGCTCTCAGTACTCTCCTCCACAACCAGGAAGTTCAGGGAAACCCGAGTAACTTCCTGGTCGCGGCAAAAAAAATGCTAGAGAAAATACATTTATGGCTATTTTACACTAAAAAGATAAGATTATATTCACATCACTAAATAATTGTCTTGCATTTTGCATTACTGGTCACATTAATTAATCTTTCTTGGCATTAACAAGTCTAAATTTAAATGGCCTGTGAGGATGATCCATTGAGGTCCATTAGTGGTTATACTGCTTATCCCATTAATTTGAATGGGAGTTAAAGCTGGAGTAGCCATATTGACATTAATGGACCTAGATGGATCACATCCATGCCTCAGAAGCATGAAACATCCGTCCGTTCAGATAATGCAGAAAAGTCTTTGGCGAGCTAATGAACATTAACTTGCAAAATCAGTAAATACTACAGTTCTAAATATAGCAAAGATGCATTTGCCCTTGAAATACAGAGAATCATCAAGTAATTTAAAGCCTGTGACAGCATGTGTTTGATGAGTTGGAGCCCAGGGACTCTTATTCTCATTTAATTGGACGGTTCAGTACAGAGTAAGCACAAACTTATCATGGGGGGCAGCTGTCTTTGCTATCATAATGAGCTTCCCTTAGCCACTATTGAGTACCCATCAGACCAATTGTCCAATGCATGTCTGAATCTTGTCAAGTGATAATTTCATCTTCTACGTTTGATAATGACAACTTTGTCTTCTGACAGTAATTTGATAATTCTTCATGTGTGCATTTTCACAGGAGAACATCATCGCTGTAATATTAAGATTGCTGTTAATGGATTAAGACTGTATTGAAAGCTCAATGATAATTCCGGATGATATTTTCTGTCACTGCTGACCATCAGGCCTTACCCTCTGCTGTAAGAATCAGGTGCTTTTCTGAAAAGTGCATTAGCATTAATCAGTCGCTGGAGTTTAAAAATATAAGGATGTATTACCTTGTTATAAATCAGGAAGTCTCATAAATATAGTAACATGTACACAGTTGGCAGGCAGCCCAATTATGGGAGCTTACGGTAATATAAATCTCCTAGTCCCTTTGACAACTACAAAAAACATTTTTTGAGAGCAAGACGCTGAGGCGCAATCCGGGCCATTCTCTTTTTGTTCTGACCAAGGCACCCTGAAATGTTGGCCCACGAGCATAGAAAACCTCAGAGAAAAGCTCCACATCTCACAACTGTGGTTGTACTAGTTGTTGTGAATACCGATTAAACAGTGCAGGAAACACATTTTGACACACGGTGTTACCTTTTGTTTCTGCTGTACCAGGAGGCAGCAAAGCGGTAAATGGTAAGCCTCTGAGAGGCAGCTGCCAGGGAGTTGCCTTGTCTCGTGGTAGGGATTCTTCTGTAAATCAGTCATTAGGACTGAAGTGCTCTGCTAGTATAATTGAAAGCTTTTAAGCCGCACCAGTAGATTTTATTATGGAAGTATCGGTTTCCAGGTGCACAAAGGTAATGTCACTTTAAGTAGTCCCAAAATCATATGCAGACAATATACAACACACCAGAGTGAGATGCATGGGGTCCACAAATCAGTGTGAATGATGCATACAAAATGGTGGTATTTTAGCAGCTTCCAGAAGTATCTCATTCACTTTATTATAACTTTCTTCCTACAGCCTTTGTAAAAGAGCAAAATGTTTTGGGTCAATATTACCTTTTCTTGAGCACCTAAAGAAAAGTAATATTGGCAAAAATAAAAGTTACAATGACTGAGAGATTTGTAACAAATTTGTAAGAATTCTGTTTCCCAGCTCTACAAAAGCAATGAATGAAGAAAGCAAACAAAAATTATTTTATTGAATTATTGAATTTATTTAGTCCTATGGAGGCAACACTGGAGGACCATAAATGTACTACCAGCTAAGGTCTCTGTTTTAGACCATGATGGATATCACTGAACCTTTGGGGGTTGGTTTACTAAAAGCAAATAGGCTGTTCACTTGGTAAGGGAATTTTCCCTTCAGCTTAGTGAATGTGGTAAAATTTAACTCAGGTAAGAATACGCAAACACGTTCAAGGAAAATAAAAGTAATTTTGCCTGCACATGTCTGGTGATGGAAGTCAGCAGAGCTTCACCTCATTCACTAAGCTAAGGGAAACTTCCCCTGCAAAGTCACCAGCCTATTTCCCTTTAGTAAATCATCCATTTGGAGTCAATCCTGTTGAATGATAAACCAAAGAATAAGAATGTATTGTCAGTGAATTCCTGAATGTGTTAATTGCCTAGTAACATTCCCCAAACTTCCCTGCATTACTATTTGCTTGAATGAAATGAAGCTGCCCTTTCAAACCTACACTATGGTTGTATTTTTTCTATTTGACCATGACTCCCATTTATGGTATATTATAGTATATGTATAAATACTTTTAATATGGCATAATATGGCATAATATGGATGGCATATTTTGGAATGGTATTATGATGCCTCTGATGATACCTTGTTCTCTTCCAGTTTTTGCTCACAAATTTTCTAACATTACAGGCTGGAAGCTATTTTCTGTTTCTCTATTTAAGGGTTGTGGGGCAGATATGACCCAATGCAGTGCAATGTGAGCTGAATGAAGCATTTTTATATGGCTAAGAATAAATTGCTAACCTTCAAAGCACATATGCTGATTTTCTTTCACCTCTTTTCTGGGCATCTGGCATTGTAATATTGTAACCTTACAGCCACACTACCTATGGTTTAAAGGTCCCTACAAGCAGATCTGGTGCCAGACATGACTTTATAGGGGGTGTAGTAACTATAAAAGGCAGACACCCTTATAGATGATAGCAGCACAATGGTGTTAGGTATGATGTTAGCCATGCAGTACTGGGATCCCATGGTTTGAATCCTGGTCAGGACACCATCTGCAAGGAGTTTGCATGTGCTTCCGTGGGTTTCCTCCCAAAGACATGCTGGAAGGTGAAATGGCTCCTGTCTAAATTGGCTCTGTGTGCAATAGGGACCTTAGATTGTAAGCTCATTGAGGGCAGGGACTGATGTGAATGTGCACTGTGTAAATTGTCAGCGATATATAAATACCAGTAATAATTACTAGGGCACAGTCCAAAATTGTATTTCCTGTTACGCAGTGCTGTGATCAGGGCCGGATTTCGCACAAGGCCAACCAAGGCCCGGCCTTGGGGCAGCAGGGAGTAGGGGGCAGCAGGGGTGTGGAATTCCTATCTCCTGATGCCTGGGACATGCTGTTCCGGTCGGGTGGTTGTTTTGGGCAAGCAGAGCTAAATGTACTGCAGGGAAGCCGCCGCTTGTTTTGTACAAGTGATCTCAGCAATGTGGCCGAGATCACTTGTATGCAGCCTGCAGGTCTGCCATTCTCCATCGGGGGGTTGCCGGGTAGGGGGGCGCATTGAGGAACCTGGCCTTGGGGCAGCAGAGAGAGTAAATCCGGCCCTGGCTGTGATATGTACGTTTTTCTGGCTCACACAACAATGTTGAAAATGGCCTTGGGGCAGCAGGGAGTAGGGGGCAGCAGGGGTGTGGAATTCCTATCTCCTGATGCCTGGGACATGCTGTTCCGGGCGCCGGCGGGTGGTTGTTTTGGGCAAGCAGAGCTAAATGTACAGCAGGGAAGCCGTCGCTTGTTTTGTACAAGTGATCCCAGCGATGTGGCCGAGATCACTTGTATGCAGCCTGCAGGTTTGCCATTCTCCATCGGGGGGTTGCCGGGTAGGGGGGCGCATTGAGGAACCTGGTCTTGGGGCAGCAGAGAGAGTAAATCCGGCCCTGGCTGCCATATGTACGTTTTTCTGGCTCACACAACAATGTTGATATTCACACTGACCACCAGCTCACAGGGATGCCTGTACTACATGGTGAATGTACCACTGAGTAACACGAGTGAGTAACATAATGCAAAAGTGACAGTGGGCTATAATGGTCACCTTACCAGTTTTTGCAGCCAGAGGCTCAGGGTGGGATCCCACTTGTACCAGAAGAATGCAGCACATTTGTTTCACAGCTGCGGAACGTTTATACATTTAAAGGCATATCATTGAAGCTTAGGTTTGGAGTTTCAAAGTCTGCAGAGGGCCACATAACTCATAAGGTTATGGAGGTATTTCCCCCTTATGCCTATAAATAATACCAGTGTCATTACCTTGTGCCAAGCACAGCTAAAAGCAAAGCAAAAATCCTTTATGATTGTTCCTGTAAGAAAAATCATAAGCTCTTGTACATGGTCCACATTAAAGGGGAAAGGGGATAGTAACAATGGCTAAAACAAGTAAATAACATAACTGGAATAACAAATAAAGATAATGAATCTGCTTGCTATTTCTTGTAAATACAGATTTTATCATATCTTTGTATAGCTATATAAACTGTAAACTGACCATAACAGGATAATTAAATACCTACTCAGCATAAACAAGGGAACATGGTTGAAATCATAAGAAAATATCAACACAAAAAATTGACACAACAAACAGTATTATGTGATTAAACACAATTTTAATGAAATATTTTCTCATTTTAAAACTGACAGTGTACTTAAAAACAAAACCTACATATTGCTACTTAAGGTCACAAAGCGCATAATGTCAGACATCTTCATAAAGCAAAGTCTGGCTTTACATTTAAAATGCAAATGATAGGTACACAGCACATACATTACAAAAATATATAAATATGTACACACAAATAGAGGGATACAAGTGATGCTACACAATTACAGCATGTTAATGATGACAATACAATGTACATTTACTACTGATCAGTTTTTTTTAATTTTGTATATACGCTTAAACCTGCATATTCTTTCCCCTGTAACATTTGACAAGGTAATTCCTTCCTTTAATGTACACCTGTCACCAGCACACATTGGAGGTAGCCATACTTAAGGGTTGGTCAATATTTTACCAATCGATTTTTAAATGATAACGCCACACAGAATTTACTGAGCTGTTTTGGGTGGGTGAGGATACAGGTCAGGTGTCATGTTATCCCCTTAATGGGCCATCAATGTTCCGTTGTGCCATCAAACTTCCAACCATTTCCCTAACTCACCCTATCACTGGGAATACCAGAACATAAAGTAGAGTACACAGACCTTTAAGCAAGGGTCTTGCTGCTCTGATAGCAACGAGTCTTCATATAAACACATTTTTATTCTTGTGGATTGCATTAGCAGGAAAGCTGTCATGAGATAAACATGAGACTGCCATTGCTGGCCTCTTCTTCTGCAAATACTAGATGCCAGGCTGTTATGTTAATCTGTTTGGTGTAATACAGTATGTTGAATTAGTAACTCAGAACAACCATGGAGATAAGGATACTGTACTCTGACTGCTGATCTAACAACTTGTTACTTGTCAGTGACTCAGAAACGTACTGAGGCCAGTGGATCAGCATGACAGCTAGCAACTGCCATTGTCAGAAAGAAGCAAGCAATGGTAACACCCATATTTGTTCTTTTGATGGATCTCTATAAATTAAGGAAATAAAAATACTAAAATATAAAACAAAAAAGGAAAATCAATGATGAAAAAACGATGCCAACCCACTTAGATATCTTGATGAGTATACAAGATATTAATGGCACACAGTACATATAACCTGCTCTTGGAAAATTATCTGAGCATTAATCTGCAACATCAGTTAGATGTTGAAGCAGTTTTGTGACGTATGGAGGCCATTAACTATAACATGTCATCTTTCTCCACCTGGTCGCAGACCCACAAAGGATTAAACAAAATGTTTGACAACCATGCAGCAGTGCTGAAGGAAGGTAGGACCTCGAAATGGACTTTGTATAGTTGTGTCACTTCACACAAATCATGTCAGTAAATTTTGTAAAGATTTTATTTAATATTAGATGACCTCAACAGTATTGGCTTCCGTTGCTGGATTTAGGTGACAGGTCCACTTTAAGACTGTCATGTAAGGCACACAACCTAAAAAAGGCACTGGCTTTGAAAGGAGAGTGGGCTATTTATTGTGTCATTTCTCAAACAACCTGCTTCTCAGTTCAGTTTGCATTGCAAATGTTATCCTATTAATGACTTACTATAATTACCATGGTTAAACATAAATGAGATGACGTGTTTCCCCCTGCAGACACAGGGCCAGGTCTGGTGTTACAGACTCATTGGAGAGGGGCTACACTACGAGGATGTAACAATGAAGCAGAAATGTAACCCATGCCTGTTGATATAACATTTTGTTAAAGGAGAACTATAGGGTGAGTGATTTTCACTCAGCCTCATAGTTCTAGCCGACCTGTGACAATGAAACTGTCACAGGTCGGCTCAGTAGATCGGGGCGTTCGCTCACCCCTCGATCCTGTGCCGGCAGAGAGCCGTGACAGGGGAGGGACTGGATTTCCCCCTTCCCCTATCCGATCCTCCTGCGCTGTTTGGCGGAACGGACGGGGGAAGGGGCGGGTACAGCTGGCTCTGCCTTCAGATAGGCAGAGCCAGCTGTCACTCACGCAGCTGGGTGGATCCAGGCATAATTGTCGGGATCCGTTCCGGCTGCGGCGTCTCAGTATACTGCGAGCTGTAGCTCGCGGTATACTGAGCTGTGGGTGACGGGAGGACGCTAGTTTGTGTCCTCCCGTTACCCTTAGGAGAACTATGTGGAAAAGCCCTAACCCCATAGTTCTCCTTTAAGGACAATTTCCCTGTTTCTGTACCCACACTTTGAAGTTACATTATTCTAAGCAGTTAAAAAATATAAAAGAACAAATTGCATGGAGAAGGGACCGTATTTATATATGAGCAAGTCTATGGTATCAAAATGAATATACAAACAGCAGAGGAAACAGATGTGAAGTGTTAAAACAAAAAAAAAGAGAATACCAAAAATCTTTTCTTAGTGCGTGTGTACAGAGAGATAATAAGGTAAATGTGAAATGCTAAGGTACCCACATATATTATAATCAGATCTGCTATATTAGAAAATACACTATATCACACCACAGTTCTATGGGATGAAAAATAATTGGACTGGTCGGAAACGCTTACTTATGTACAGTATAATTGGGTTGTAGTGTGAGCTACCATTGTATGACACAATGCTTTCTGGTGGGGATCTCTAAAAGTACCAGTCAATAGAGTTCAATGAACACGGTCATTAAACATATCAAGAACATGTACTATTAAATGTAATTCATCATTCAGATAAGTAAAAAAACATAGGGGCTCCTACTGTATCAGGGATGCTGACCGCTCAGAGATGACCTGCTGGAGTTAATTGGTCCTAGCTTTCAGTTTAGCAACAAATGGGTCCTAGTGGAGTTTTACTTTATTTTGTATCTGATATGCTAATTCTAACCATTGCTGGCATAACAATACTGCTTATATGGAGTTCTACACCTGATGATTATTTGACTACGGCAAGCATGTAAGCATGTACTGTACTACATACAAATAACACTTTTGTTGGCAGTCTTAGAGCTATTGATTAGAAAACAAGATCTCCTAGATTTAAGTAACCCTCCACCCTCTGTTTACAGTGTTTCCCAGTTTTGAGTGATCGAAAGACTCGGAATGAAGTGCATATTAATCAAGGTCACTGCACTGACGATCTAAAGGCTGGTTAGATCTATTTTCATCCTAACTTCGATCATGTGGGCACTCCAGGAAATAGTCAGTCATCGGTTGCAGTCTACTGAGGATTTGTTGTTGTGTTTTCAAACATCAACCCGAACAAAGCTTTTGCAAATGTTACAACATTTCCAAACGCATGGCCAACATTAGAGTTAGTGACCACAACTTTGCAAAGTGCATCCTCCATGACAGCATGTGTACAAAGATTAAAAAAGACATGTCCATCAAGATTAAACTATGCGGCTCCTGTTCTAGCAGGATGCCGGTAGCAAATTATTCAGCTTTGGTCACAGCCAGTAACAAGAGCACACAGAGAACTTAAGAGTAAACTTGTCCTAAATATAAATTGCATAATAAAAGCAATTATATTTTAATTAATATATATCCCTAGGCTGTCCATACATTACTGCTTCATTATCTCTCAAGTGAAAAAGCCAATTATAAAGGTTCACCACCTACTAGATTGAGAGCCAGTGCTGGGTGCTGAATAGATAAAAGGGTTGAGTTATTATAATACCTATACCCTAAAAAACAACATAGAGTCAGGTTAATACCTTTGTCAGTTAAAAGATCAATAACATGTTTCAGTAAAAGAAATATGCCATAAGCAGGTAGTCCAAGATGAAGCTACAGATTATATATATATATATTTTAACAAATGAAAAATGAACATACTGAGAAAGAGATGATATGATACATTGAATAGTTGAGGCTGACAGATCCACTTTTGGAAAACAAGCGGCGTGTTATTTTACTTGTGTCCAAAACAGGCAATATGAGTGTAAGAATGCTGATACGTACACCAGAATATTTATTCTCCACTAGACAGAGATAACATCAGTATATAATACAAAAATGATGTATAGACATAGACAAACACAAACCTAGCATCCTGCACTGTGTTACAATACATGGTTTTATTAAGCAGGGAGGTTTATGGCTACAGGGAAGCATTTGTTCAGGTTTAACAGTAGACCAGTTTATCATTCATTATCTGTTTCTGTAATGAGGAATTGAGAGCATTTGATTTGAAAACAAGAACATGATTGCACAGTAGAGAGTGCCAGGGAATGATTTATAAAAATGGGAGTACTGAAAAGCATTTGTGTTGACCATAGCAACCAAAGAATGATTTTATTTGTCTTTAAACAGGGATATGATTGGCTGTTACTGTCAACATAGACAGTTTACTTTCAGGGGTCTATTTATGAACAATTCACAGAACGATTCACCTTGCGAATCTCTGTGAATATTTGTACAGACAATAACGAACATTCTTAGTATATTTTGTATTCAGGTTAAATGTAATGTAATACCACATTATGGCCACTAGATGAAGCGGAGGAGCATAGAAAATAACTATTTCCTATGCTACTCAGCTCCATTTAGTGGCCATAATGCGGTATTACATTACATTCAACCTGAAAAAAACCCATAATGAGAGCATTTGTTTTTGCCTCTATTCGCACATACTGTAAAGAAAATTCAGAGATTCAAAGTGTGACCGGCTATTGTTTATATGCAAATTGTATATAAATAGATTGCTCATTGTTAATTTCAGCAAGAAATTAACAATGCAAGATAGTTTTTCTTACCCTTCCTTTGTGCTCCCCTGATTACTTATACAGCCAGGGACAAGGACTTTATGATGTTAATCTCATCTATTAAGGCTTTTAAAGCTGATCTCTGGGATAAACAAATATTGTCTAAATACAAGTATTCTTACTTGAATATTGGTGTTTTTTGTGTATTTAGTCTAGATTTGTATAGTAATCCCATCTGAAATGTTTCCATTGTGCAGAAGCTTCCTGTAATAAAGACCAGTCACTGCTGCTCTCTCTCCTTGTGAGGGTGACTAGTCTTGTATCTGCCCCCTCCTCTAGTCCTCTGCCTGTAGCCGGTTGTTTGATTCAAACAGTTTGCTGTTTTTTTAGTCTCGGGCAGAAGGCGTCAAATATATAAAAATAGATCTATTTTGAACATACAATGAATGAAACAAAGACCATTAGACCTGAACAAGATGGTTACCTTGCACCCATGACGAGAAAGTAATGTACTTCATACTAACCAATTTAAGCAGCTTTTCTCAGCTGTCCCTAAAAATATCATCAGTATAAATTCAAATTATATTGGCAGTTTAGCAGCACAGTTTACAAATCTTTAGTTATATAAAACGTAACAAAATAAAGAATACTCTGATATTAGAACAACCAAAGGATAAATAATTACTTTAAGTTACCAAACATGGATACGAGCAAGGCGCCCAGATCCTGGTCCCCCAGGAATGTCGTAAACGTGGGCTACAACCTCAGATATGGAGGACCAGCCAAGTAAGAGACTATTAGAAATCTCTTTTAGGTTGTATTTAGGTTTTTATGTACTACATATATGCTGGAACATATATAGTATATTCTCCTACATTAATCCTTACAAAAATCTTCTACAACATAATGTGAAAGACCACCAGTTTAAACCATACTGTGGTGAACAGTTCACTTTACATCACCAAAGCACAACTCCAATTCTAAATAGTGAAAAGAGCAGCAAACCTATAATCAGGTCTATAACTGACTAGGTACAGGATGTGATCTATTTTCCCCTCTGTCTTTCCACCCTCTACCCACAAAAAAAAAGATGAATGAAAGATAACAGCATTCAGTCCTAAAAAAACTGGTTCATACACCAATCAGGTGATAAGGGAAGATAACCGATCAATGGGAGGTTCAAATAATGGGGCTCAGAATCCTCCGGTTCAAAGTTAACAGTACCTATGCAGCCTTCTCAATTAAAAATAGGTTGGGATAGGGTACTTTGGTTTTATTTTTAGTAGGAAGGCTTGTTCTACAATCTATTGCCATATCATGATAATTATTTGTATGTTAACAAGTAAAACAAGAATTATGAAAAATCAAGCAGATTAAAGTTTTTGAGCAAGGGCCGTGACTTTAGTTCTAGCCAAAACCCCATGAGTTTTATTTCTCTCTATCTCGACTTATGACCCATTTGGTGTGTACACAATAATGTGATTCTCCCTATAGGCTGAATAGCCTTATCGGAATCATTATCTTTTCTTCAAGTGGACATTGGAAAGATGGAAAGGAAATCAGCACATCTCAATCACTTGTCTGTGTTACAATGCTTGTTCCCTTATATAGCAGTTACTACTGATATCCAGCATGGCAGGATTTAGTTCGGCATAGAGTACATAGGGCTGGCAGAGATAGAAAACAAAACTTTTCTCTGCCCAGCTCAAAAGTAAATGTTATTTAGTTCACAACTTAAGGTAAATTTACATTTAAAAGGGATAGTGATCAAATGTGGCATACATTAAAGGGTGCACAAAATGTATAGTGTCATGCTTAAAGTGACTCTATCCCAAAAATAAATACTCAGAGAAAAGGTTTTCTCAAACAGAAAAAAACAAAATACTGTTCCCACTGCCCTGCGCCGCTGATCACCACACCAGTGAAGAGAAATGGTCCTTGAAGTCTCTGCAGAAACCAACACTTCCAGGAGTGTTTTTCAACAACCTCTTTGATTGCTCCCTAATTGTTTCCATTTGTCTACAGAGGAGAGAAAAAGGGATTTTTCTACTTTCCATAAAATCTGTTTCCTGGAGTTCATTAAGTTACACGGGATTCTGTTATTAAGAGACAATTGGGTTAGGCAGCAGCAGATAACTCAAATATCTAAGAATTTCTACATTCCTGTATTCTTAAACGGACAAAAGAGAAAATAAGATTTTTGCACTTACTGCAAAATCTTTGTTCTTAAAGTCCACTGAGGGACACCGGAATGTAGAAATTCTTAGACATGCTGGTTATATGCTGCTGCATAACCCAATTGTCTCTGAAAATCTGAATCCTGTGTCCCTAAATGGATGGGAAAGGAATCATATTTTGACTGCATGTGCATTACAACTCAATTGTGAATAACAATTATGGAATGCCCCAGTAATATGGCAATGCAAACAAATACAGTCAGTTTTCTCACCAACTATTATCTCTGATTATAAAAAAGTCAATGTATGGCTAGCTTGATCTGCTGCTGAGATCCAAATATATTCTACCAAAAGCCCCAGAACAGATAACCCCTTAAAATATATACTCAGAGGAAATGCCATGTGTTTGACATACTGTGAGAGGTTTATAAAAAAAGGTCCCGTGGTACATTCTCTGCACTGCATAGGAGCTGTCAGCTCTATATAATGGACAGTGGGCTAAGGGTTGTGAATACAGCTTGCTTCTAGGGTTCTGAAATAAATTCTGCCAGTCTGTGGACAGTAGTACCCTATCATATCAGGCAACAAACATTTTTTAAACTTGGTTTGGTACTAGGAGTTGTGCGGTTATATTTTACCCCAACAGCTTGACCTCCAACCTATGAAACTCAATGCAAATGGTTATAATCCACTAGAAATATATTATTAGGGCTGATAAGTGTTTAATATTGGGGTAAGCACCAGTATGGGTTGTGGTTACATTTCAGGTATATATTCAGATCTCCATATATGAGACCTTTAGAAAATTACAATCAACATGATTACCAGCCATCCCAATATTAACTTTCCTTCTAACAATTAAAATATAATAAATTGCCCAATCCTAGAAACAGTATGTACACTTCATTCTCACACCTCCTGAACATACAACATTCTTTACAACATAAAATAAAAAATTGCCACTCTATAACTCTATAGTACAAATGTAATACACATAGTGAATTCTTGGAACAATCAAAAAGCAACATAAATGCTGAGATGCACACTGGTAGGAAGGAAGCAGCATTTCTTCTACATAGCTAAAACAAGGTCCATTACATTTTAGATTGTTATACTTACAATGCCAACACCATCACAACATTAGTACATGCTTATTAGGGGCTGTGTGGTACATATAGTGCTCTCTTCACTACTGCATGCCAATGGTTCTCTATGACTGGAACCTGAGAAACATTGCAACCTTTGGCTACTATATCATACAAAGATAGCATGCACATACATTGGAATCACAGCCCCTGTCTTACCTGTGGTTACCATTAGTATAACATAAAAATACGAGGACAAGCTTTTAGTGGTGTTCAGTCATGCACAAATATATATGAGTTATTAGTCATTAATTAAACCAAATGGATCTTACACCATATTTCAGAATGAACCACTGGTATTTTTTTTTTCAGTTTTTATTTAGCAAAGTATATAAGATAGGTAATAATCAGTATGCTTCTTTGAGCTACTAATTTACCCAGAATTATGTCTAGTAATCATTCGAATGTAGAAGATTAACTTAAGTATGTGGACTGAACATTTCGGTTACTCTTCCAAGTCCTTATTGCTTCTTGAATTTTTGGTTAGTTCTCTTCTACACGTGACTACATTCCATGTGCATTAGAGATGGAGTCAGGCGAAAACAGTTTTACAGTGAGTGCTAAAGTCAATTTAAGTTAGAACCTAGACACTTAGACTTTCATAAAGGAAAGCTTTTTAGACCCTACTACTCGCGAAGGGCACAACTAAAGGCATTTAAAAAAAATATGCTTTTTTTTTCTTAAAAAAATATATATGTATACTAATTTTGGAAAGAAAAATAGTATGCTTCAGAGTAAAATAAGTAAGGGCTTCTATTAGGACGAGAGAGTAAAGGGGCAGCAGAAGCATTGGCCAATGTGTATGCATTGAGCTACAAAAAGAACAAATACTCTCTGCGAGGAACTGCCCATTAAGCGCATACAGTCTGTCCCATTGCACAATTGTTTTTCTAAATGTTACAAATATGAGAACAAAAGAAAATACATTGTATTCTTATTAACAATTCAAAAACCTCAAATTCTTGTTCTAATTCAGAATTTCCCTGTGTCAGTCCTTACAAACCACATAAACACATACAGTCTCAGAATCTAACAAAATACTGTATGCGTACAGTGGGGCATAGTCTCTATTTACTGAAATAAATCTAAAGTTCAGGGCTAGTATATATCAAGATCTATGGACCTGATGTGTTCTTCCTGCCCCCAGATAAAGTACTGTACCGTAGTATATAAGAAACACATTGATCCCAATGTTTGACATAACATTATAGGGACACCATCATTTGGCTGTATATATGGTATGTTACTTGATGATTTACATTCTACACAAGGTCATAGTATGAAAATGCTGAATACGTGTATGTAATCATCCCATGCAGACTCTGATGTTCCATAAGCCAGCAGCTAAATGTGACTTCATAACATCTTTTGTATCTCTTACGCAACTATATTAGTAAAGTCTGCCCAAGTTAAAGGAAGCATTATGAGAGGAATCTGAAATAACAATGGACATTTACTTTGCAGGACAGTGACAGTAAAATTATCTTTTAGAATGGAATCTACAATTACACCATCTGGAATATCACAATTCTTGATGGATAAGTAAAATCAGCTGCCATCCTCTTCAATATTTTTTACTTTCATGCTAATGTTCCCAGCTCAGACCCTTTTGAATCTTATCAGCTATTTCGGCTTTAGACAGAGTGGGGTTGTCACTCTCATTCTAATGGATTGTGTACAGTAAACAACTCCTGCTTGCTGGCCAGGAGAAGAAATGGAGGCAGAACTGTGAATAAGCAGAGCTCCCATAGGCCCCCAAGAGAAATATAAGACGATGGCAGGTGATTCATCCTTGCAACATCTGCTCAGAGCACAAATATCAGTTTTTACTGGTGTCATCTTTAAACAAACAGTAAAAATTGATTACATTAGATAACTAATGGAAATTTGTTAGATTTATAGAAAGAAAATGTTTTATGATAGTGTCCATTTAAAGAGGTTCCACCTTCAAGAAGAAATTAATTTGAATGACACCTTTCTATGTAGCAATAAATAACTCTATTCTCCTGGCATCACTGAAACACTTAGGAGCTTATTTATAAACCGTTTGCATAGTGAACAAGATTCGCAGTGAATTATGGCCATTAGATGGAGCAGAGGAGCACAGGAAATGCCTATGCTCCTAGTCTGTTAAGGTTCTCATTCATTCAGGTCATGGTATATCTGTAAAAAAATAAGTCAAGCCAGCTGGACTTGCTGTATTTCTCTTGAAGACGTTTCACTGGTCATCCAACCAGAATTCTGGTTTTGAGAAAGCTGGTTGCATGACCAGTGAAACGTCTTCAAGAAAAATACAGCAAGTCCAGTTGCCTTGACTTATTTTTTACAGATATACCTATGCTCCACCTTGGCCATTATGTGCTTCAAATCTTGTATGCATAGTTGTTCGCTATGCAAATGGTTTATAAATCACCCCCTTACGGTCTGCCTTAGACTAGAAGACCAAATATGTACTTGCTAATGTAAGAGCACCGATTAGGTAAGTCATTATATCACACAGCAGGCCTGCTCAATGACCTCTTCAAACATCTAAATGTGGCCAAAAGAGAGGGGAAATTGGAGAGAGAGGAAGCCCATAATATTGCTACATGGAGAAGTGTTCTAAAGTCCACTTTATATGGAAAATGGAAAACCCCTTTAACAAACAAGGTGCATTTTTAGCTAAGACAGCAAATATCTGTCAGAATCCGTTTTAAAGAACACTTGGGCCTGTATTAAAATAAATTGCATTTCCGCTGCAAATATGGACTAATGAGCAATCAAACATTTACTTTTAATGATTTACTGACATAACACACCAAAATGTGAGCTTATCTTTATTTTGTCTGATTGCCAGATAAGCCTGACTTTCTAACCAAAGTCAGGAATTTCAATGCTAGAATTAAAAAAAAAATGTGTGCAAGAATCCCCCTGGACCCTGTTACCATTACAATGTCTGACACAAAGAGATATATTTATAAAACAGTTAATCTGACACCATCAAACATTCATTACAGGTGAAACATCCTGGTGCATGTGTTTTAAATGACAGGTATTTACTGCCAGTGAATATTCAGTGTAAGTCACATTCACTACTTTCCAAAAATATTATCCCATGTGCAATGTAAATATTAAGGGAGCATATATGTGAATGAAACTGGAAGCAGAGGTTTGTCATTGTTTCCAAAGGACATTTTTTTGGTATTTGGTGAGAATCACAAGGGCAACGGCTCCGGTTAGAGGCCATGAAACTTGGAGGACTCAAACAAAGCTGTGTTGCCTGTGACTATTATAGTGCCATCATTGCTTACTTTGTCTAATATCATCTTCAAATCCAACTGGAAATGGCATGGTTAGGGCAACTTCAGTAAAACAGAGGAGGGTATTCCTGTTTAATGTCCTATAGCCTGTGAATTCCTTTGCCCCCTAAGACCTATTGGTCTCTCCGACACCTTTTAGAGGACCGGTCAGTCATACTTATCTCTGCTATTCCACTGAAGGAATCTTTCTGGAACTGCCCTTTAAGTATTAAACAGCCATTAATTTGAAGAGATGATTATGATGAAGATGATTATGTTTTTATGTTTTACTGTCCTTTAAACAGTGTTGAATCCTGGATTTAGCCCTTGCTTCCATAAAACATGATATTCTTGAAAGCAACGATCCTTTAAAATCATTATGACAGCCATATCTAAAAGAGTCAAAATGAGTGTTAGTCTATAATTCTTTTCATGATGTGACTAAACTTTTTGATCCAGATACTGATTTGTGTTTTCCCACAAATCTGGCAATCAGACATTCTGTGCCTGCTAATGGAGGTGATGGATGGAAAATAAAGTGAAAAGCAAGTAGTTACATTTATAGCACAACAGGTATGATACTTTGATGGTGAGGCTTAACATGAAATGCAAATAAATTTTATAAATAAAAACTAAAAAAAAAAGAAAACATGTCTAGAAGAAAGAAACAAATCCTCCTTTGGCAGTCATAGCTGATTTGACAGTTGGTCCATTAGTCTTACACATAGAAATGTCCCTTTAAATAAGTGACGTCAGATTAGGGGCCACACACATGATCACTTGTGTCCCAAATAGGCTCCTAGAGTGATGCATGCTCCAACAACGGCAATACTTAGGATGGTCTTGATGGACAGCCATGAAGGATCAAAAGGTGGCCGGACACTGCTGCCATACAGTTCAACGAAAACCCCCTGCAAATATAAACAGCAAGACAAAAGATTAAGTCAACTACACCCAAAAAGATGTAAACTAAACATAATAACTGTGCATTTTAATTTCACTTAACAATGAAGTAGAGCAATCCAGATTACTTAATGTAACTAAAATGTATGTAACAACCTATGGGATTCTAGGTAACTGGAATGTAAACTGCTAAATACACAATTTAAAACTGCATATGTATATGGGAATATTTTGTAGCAGTCCTGTTAGTCTAGTGATTCAGGCAAAATCTAAAAACAAAGAGCGCACAGACCTTGAATACAGCAATGGTAAAAAAAACACAAGGAAAGTAAAGGAGCCTGCAGCTCTAGCAAGGGTAGAAGCTACATGTGCTGCCACAGCCCCTGTCATTTAATGTTATTTCTATTACACTGCTATGTATTAATTGCATTTCACAATGTTATGGTATACGTCTGACAACTAGTGCTAAATTAGGTGCTACACTTGTTTTCTGAATACATTGGTATCTTCTACTGTATTTCCCTCATGTTTAATGTCACTTGGTATAGTCCTAGATAGACCCTCCCTAATTCTTCCATGTTACCTCATTTGTAATGATAGCCCCTACTGCAGACACTTGGCTTGGATAATCTATTGTATTTTTACACTTCATGTAACCAGCGAAGATCCGCTGTATGTACTTTGAAAAGTAAACTATGTTGGATTTAAGCTTATGTGTCTTATTGAAGAGTTAGGCTATCTGTGGTTGGATCTGAATCAGGTTGTGACCATACTGCCTGGAAGGATCGAGGTCCAAAGGAGGTATGTCAAAGCATAAAGCGGCTCTTGAGACGGAATACAACACCAAAATGAAATACAGAAAAACATAAAGCCAAAGAGCGCACAGACCTTAAATACAGTAATGGTACACAAAATACAAGGATATGTAAAGAGCTCGCAGCTCTAACAAGGGTAGAGGCATCGCCAAACTGAAATACAGAAAAAATAAAGCCAAAGAATGCACAGACCTTGAATACAGTAATGGTAAAAAACGTTCATATGTTCAGTACAACTCCACCTTTACCTAGACAATTAGCACCCCTTCCCCAAGCCAATCTGCACTGTTATCACTCACTTCAGAAGCTTACTTACCTCTCTAGTGCTGCTGAGGCTTGCTCTGGTGCCTATGGGGGTAACTAAGACATTAGAGATAAGTGCAGTTTAGCCTAGGGGTGCTGGAGAAGAAGTTGGGTTGGCAAAAGTTTCATTTAAATTACAGATATCCTTTAACTATCATATAAAGATACAGTTGGTACTTCTGTAATTGTTCATTATCATGACCAACTATTATACTGTATATTATCCTGTGAAAATAACATCAAGTATCAAGTATATAGAATTGATTGTAATAATGTAGTCTTTTGTTCTACTATGCAAGGAATACATCTCCTAATAAAGGTGTTCTTTTGTACAGGCTACGACTGTAAAGAGAATTTCCACTTGCGTAAAAAAATTTGAGAAACCACCACTATATGTCTGTTATGTGTTCCCATTCACGCAGCATACCTAACAATATAATTTTTTTAATTTTTCTTACCTTTTAGTTGTTTCTTAGAAGCAGGCCTTTAGACAGACTGGAAGCTGCTCTGAACATGTTCAAGGTGAGACTGTCCCCATACAAAGAGTGGGAACACATTGGGTTTACCCTCATTAACATGCAATGCAGAAGCCAAGTTTCTAGATTTTTAAACCTGTGTTAGGACAGTGATTTACAACTGTTAATATCTGCCACCACAGTACAGGCAGGGTTAATTATGGTAAACATGAACTTCCAGCCCCCTTGCACAGCAAGGGTTATTCACTAGAGGGTGAAGAGTTTGGAGAAGGCAGGAGAAGTGTACAATTTAGGGCAACATATTTTGAAAAATTCTCCAATTCAGCTCACTTTCCAGTTCAGCTATGTGGTCCTAGATTGTTCACTTTTCCTGCCCTCTCCTTCACCCTTAAGTGAATAACACTGACAGTTTTGAAGTTTTCAGAAAAGAGCAAGTAAAAGGTAAGCAGCACTTTTTTTTAAGTTATGCAATGTGGATGGGAACATGTAACAAATATAAGTAGGCGTTATCCCAACTTGGCTGCAAAAGTGGAAATACACTTTAAGGAACACATCTTCTAATAAAGATGTTCTGATTTGCAGGCTACTATGTTAAAGACTGCCATCTAAAATGACAACAAATAACTTTCTCATGTCAGCTGGATAAGATCAAAGATTAGCCTGAACAGAGTGAATATATAATTCAAAGGTCAGGCCTTGCATTACGTTTACTTATATGAGGTGTCAGCGGTAAAGCATAAAACAAATGCCATCCTATTTTAAGCACCTTTCATCGGGTTCCAGCTTTAGCAAGCCTAAAGCACACAATTGCCAGCAGAGGGGGTGAAAGAACTGTCTCAGCTATAAGGTAAATCACTAACATGGCTACGGACACATACAAAGGAGAATCTGCTGTACTGAGTGCTTTAGTCAACTCACAACTGTGGTTCTGAGACCTGCTTATAATGGAAATGGAAACTTGTAATACCATTGACCTGCTCTTTCCTGTCTAATTAATGTCTGCAGCATTTCCAGATAATGCTGTACTGGGTTCTCATTCCAACCACATCTGGACGTGGAGCACCTCAATATCAGCGTGCCTTATGATAATTAGACATTTCATTTTGCTACTAAAATTTTTTAAAGTATGGCACACAAATCTGAAAGAGCTCTGACAAAGTTCACTATTTTCTGCATTTTTCATTTAAGCTGAAGATAAGTTTTTTATTTTGGGATACAGCACCAAGGACATAACTTTCCCCCACTAAAGTGTATTCTACAGTACATTCGGTTGGCTGCTGATTAGTTAGTGTACAAACCCTCCCTTCTGTGATGTTGGATCCTGCTCACATCGGTGAACTTCCGACACTGTGTGGGTTAACACTGCCTGCATGGTACATTGTGGTGCACTGCAGCGCACGATTGTTATGTACATGCACTGGTGTGCCATTCAAAATGAACAATTCTGCAAAGAATGGCATTGTCCTTGGCATGCTACTGTTCATTGTGATAACACATGTTAACACAACAAAAGGGTGGGATCAGCCCACTTAGGTCCACGTTATCGGGTAAAGCAGTTTCACTCACGTCATTCCCATGGCAGTAGACACTAACCTCTTCCCTCCTACGTTCCAGCTTGTGGACTGTCCCTCAGCATCCTCATGCCTAATGCAGAACTAAGGGTGAAACATTGCACTTCATGATGGCGACAGGCCCCTGACTGCTGGAGCACAGGGGGGAAGAAGCTGCGTGTGCTGGTCTTATAGTCTGGAGGGAGCCTGGGGGAGCTGGGATCAGGTACTTACTCCCAGAAAAGTCCTTCTGCCAGATGCCCTAGACCTAAATCAGAATTTAACCCTTGCAGTACGATGGCAGTCCCTTTGCAATGTGAGTTTTTCCCCCAGAATACAGCTTAAAAAAACTTTACAGATACATTTTTCAAGGTTTAACAGCTGCCATGGCATATTCACAATGATGTTATGTGAACAGCAACCTGACATAGCTGAAATATGACAGCATTGTTTTGTACATGGCATAATAATGCAAGTATATGGTTTGTACACCTATAAAATCATTAATTATTCTGCCATATAATAAGCTGACAGTTTGAAATGTCTTTTGCAAAAGTCACACAGAGCAAACAAAGTACTAGGTAGTAGTTCAAAACAAACTCCAACTACTTGCTGCTATGATGTGACTCAAGGACCCCACAAAAACCACACCATCATTCATACATTCTGCCATAACTCCACAATGGCTACTCAACAAATCTAGCTCTACAGCTGTTGAGGATGTACAATCTTCTAAATATGCTCATTGCTGCATACCTTGAGAAAACCACACCAGTGAGCCACAATTTGGAAACCAAAAAATTACAGCAGTCAAACTCATAAGAAATGCCACAAAAGTACCCTCCACACACTACACAACTATGTCCATCAGAAGACAATACCTACTCTTTGATTAAGTGCAAGGTTGCGTGAAACACATAAGAGAAGTTCTCCTGTTGTCCTTCCTGGAATGCTTTATTGATTACAATAAATAGTGCTGCTATCCTTTTCTTCCACAATATCGACCAGATACAAGCTGGGCCAGCACTCATTGGATGAGTGTTTGTGGACCGACATGGAGCAACACCACATCTTGAACAATACAGTTTCCTATGTTATGGACAGGCTTGGCGTGATAAGCTATTTTTGAAGGTTTTATGACTTTTCTTGGGACTCCGTAGATGTCCACTGAGTACAGAACAGCATGATAGTGGCACATACAATGAACTCTTATATAACTTGTGCCCTTCCTCTAGTGGAGGCCTAAAATGCACAGTGTAGAAGTAACTAAATGCCATGGAGGCACTATGACACCCATTACCCCACTGGATCTCAGTAATTCTTGTTTCTATGGTATCAAAGAAGTTTGGTGCCCATCACGGTATACGGTATATGATATATATCAGCGTTTTTCAACCACTGTGCCGCGGCACACTAGTGTGCCGTGAGATATTTTCTGGTGTGCCGTCAATAAATCGTTAATTTCTTTGATCGATCAAAATTATTTCGATCGATCAAAGTTACTCACCTCTCCGCCGGCTTCCGGGTCTTCCGTCGGAGATCCGGTGACGTCACGGACATCGACGTCACCGGACTCCTCCCCCCTTCCCCGAGTGGCTCTGTCGGCTAACGAAGGGAAGGGGGGAGGAGTCGGGTGATGTAGTTGTCCGTGATGGGTAACGAAGGGAAGGAGGGAGGAGTCCGGTGAAGTCACGGACATAGACTACTCCCCCTTCCCTTCGTTACCTGACGGAATCACTTGGGCTATGTCTCCTCCTCACTCTTGGGCCGGTGAGTCATCGCATGTGTGTACAAGGCAAAATCTGCTACCCTGGTGAGACCCCACAAAGCCATGGGGCTTTTGGGGTTGTGTATAAACTAAATA